TGTGTGTGTGTGTGTGTGTGTGTGTGTGCGTGTGCGTGTGTGTGCGTGCGTGTGTGTGTGTGTGTCTCCCGCCTGTAGATGTGCGTTTTAAACAGCAGGTTTCATGTTAAAGGACCTGAAGTTCAACACGCGACACATAGGGAGGGGTTGTCATAGTGACGGTTGGAAAGCTGTGACGGGATGAAGGTCCACATCCTGATGATGAAGATGATGATGATGAAGATGATGATGATGATGATGATGAGGATGGTTTGGCGCCGGGGATCGCGCGGCTCTTAATGCAGTCACCACACCCGCCTGGTCTCTGCAGTGCCCGGGAAAAAAAACAGGAGCCGTATTTAAAGCCTCGTGACATCACCCTCCCGTCGGAACCACCGGTGGATCCAAACGGGCCGCACCGGTTCCGTCTCAGCGCGTCTGCAGAACCTGTTGCATAATCAGTTCATGTCGGACCGATGCTTGTTGTTTCAGCCTCATGGCGCAGGAATCTCAACTCTTCTCTGCATCTCCGAGCAAACTTACATCTCATTTATTAATAGTGTCAAAGTGATGGCTCGCGGGCCAGATCTGGCCTTTCTTACTATTTAATTTGTCCATTTAAGGTGGAGAGTTGATGCAGTTTTTAGTGTCTGTTTGTTAGCAAAATAATTCCTGATCCAGGATGGATTTTAATTWACTATTGAATGTAAAACAAYCAAGATGGCCGCCACAGCTAAACAACYGTACTAAACCCTGACATCAGCTAAAACTGAGCCAGTTTAMTGAGCTATATCTGCTGTGTCAGCAAAATATTTCATGAATCAATGAATGCCTTTAAATGAAARAAGAAGTGATTGAACCATGCTAACCTGAGCCTCACTCAGTCAGGTTTACAGACATGTAGCTAAAGTTTGGTGTGGTAGTAGCTGAGAGTCATCCTGACCTGTCTCTGAGCTGAGGACGGGTCATGCTAGGTGTTTGTTTCAATGTGGAGCTGCTCTGTTTGTGACTCTTTCTTCATAAAACTGATCTGACACGGATCAGTTCTGGACTTGGACCTGGTTTTTCTTTTGTCCCTTTGTGTCTCTGAGTTTGACCGAGATGCTTCAAACTGGTCTTCCTGTTGATTCAGACTCGTTGTGTTCAGTTCTTTTGAGT